TCTCCTCTCTCTCTCTCTTCTCTCTCTCTCCTCCTCTCCCTCTCTCTCTCTCTCTCCTTCTCTCTCATCTCTCTCTCTCTCTCTCTCTCTCTCTCCTCTCTCCTCTCCTCTCTCTCTCTCTCTCATAATCTCATAATTTGTCATGTGTTGCCTTTTCTATTTATCCCCCACTCCATTTCATGTTGGTTGACTACATACATTCTTACACGCCAAGTAAGATGAAAGTGACCCCAGTGCGTGCATTACATGACCAAACAGTCGAGCAGAGTGGTGCAGCCTGGCTCGGGTCGCCACTGCCACACCTGCAGGCGGTGCAGACACCAGGCTGGCACTGTATCCATCTGTGGGATGGATAGAGAGTCATCTTTTATATTTTATCATGTCTTAGTGGTCGGTATTTGTTTTGATTCAATTTCTAATAGCCTAAACGTAAGCATTGCACCTATGTTCTATAGATTATGCGTAAGACACTTCTTATAGAGTCAGTTGCATAAAATCACATTGGTCGACGCAGCCCAAACATTCCTTGCATCCTCCTATGATATTATTTCTGATGATTGCTTACCGTAAATAAAAATGGAAACCTTACCTCGGGACTGCAGAGAACGAATGTTTCTCATCCAGATATCAACTGACAGAATTATGTAAGCCTCGATTGAAGCCAGCGGTTCTTGACAACTCTCTATAGGAAGAAGTTGCGGCCTCGACGAGGCTTCGGTACTGTTACCGCAGAAACACCCCGACCTGTCGAGAATCACTCAGTTTCAGTATGAGAACACAACACCGGATGTCACCAAGACATCAACTTTCATTCGTCATTCGAGAAAAAAACTTATACTGAAAAAGTAATGAAATAATGTTTCATGCAAAATAATATTCAAGGTAGTAGAAGTTATCGCAGTATTCATTGCTCAAAATCACAGGCCATGGTTATGTCGATTATAATTTATAGAGATCCTATTTTGTAACTGCCTGTGTTAAAATAGAACGGAAAGTTATCTATATCTATGTGCATGTCTTTAGTGTTTACTCATAGATATATCAATGGCATCGCACAAATGTGTATTGCATGTGTTGCATAATCAAATTTACTTTCCAAATGCTGCGAAGCTGTTTTCTGTGTCATTGCAGATAGTGATGCAGCTGGCCAACTCTGATGTTGATGGATGCCTTATCCAGCTTTCTGGTTTTGTTGAGCACATCCATCCTTCCGGGACTGAAACGAAAGTCATAAATCACTCACAACAACAAAAATCATCGCCTTTTCATCAAAATGCGTGCTAAATACTGCAATATCCCGATGATATCAGGTGTTGCCAAATGTATGGTACCGATGGGCTGCACGCCTGATTATCCACTGACCATTGTTGAGCGCGCCCTTGTCGTGAAGCAGGAAGCCCTGTCCCCTGGAGAGCGTCAGGTTCTTCTGACCCGCCATCCATTCCAGAGCGTTCCAGGAAGAATTCCTGTCAGGCAGGCTACCGCACAAACAACTGCTTCTGTGAAGTCAGAGACGGTCGTCTGTTGTCATTAGGTACTAACGAGTACACACAATGAAGAAGCTCCTGTACAATACATACACTGTTTACTCTGCACGCATACGGCCAAGCAGTGACTTATTCATTCAGGCGATTTTGTTAGAGTGGGACATCACCCAGAAACATTTTGTGCAGCAAACAGCGAGCGCTACAGCGAGCCATGTAGGTGGACACTGCAGTGCACAGTGTGCAGTGCAGCTGAGCATGTGTGAAGGGATCCAACTGATTTGTCCGGGTCCAGTCATCTAACAGGTCTCTAGTGCCACCGGAACACAAACTTCGAGTGCCATTGGCCTGTTCTTAAAATGGGGAGGCATATGGAAATAAGGCCTTATCTGATTTGTATGAGCCACCATTCTATTCCGTCCCCAGCGGTGTAGCTTCAGGCAGCATCGAAGCTGCCGATAACAAGATGCATAAAAACGGTCACGCACGTGCTCGAACTATCTGAGACCATTCGGCCAATGCTCGGAGCCATCGAATTGCAAAAAAAGTGTAAAATATCATGCATCTGACTTGTGGCTCAGGTCAGGCTCAGGTACTCACTTCCCAATCAGCGTAATCTGCTGAGAACAGTTTCTCAAACATTCGTCTATGGTGAGGAAATATCCAGAGGTAGTCCAGTTGATGTTTTTGGGTCTTTCTTGAACCCAAAATAACTTGAAATCTGAAAGAAATGGTGTGGATAGTAAAGTGCAAGCGTGGAAATGTGAATAGTAGGTAGGTAATTAGCCGCACAACTGACTAATCACAGCCCACCATAACTCATAAGCAACATACAGTTAGTGCTATACAGCATATTACACATGGCAGTGTAGGCATAACTATACGTCTATTAAGTTGACATGAGACCTCTAAATGGGGCCTTATTTCACCGAGAATGTGTATTGTGTATAACTCCTGAGCTTGACCCGACACGTGAGGCGTTTCTCGCCAAAGAGTGACATAACTAAAAGGTTAACCTGGATTACGGAAGTATAGGCCCGGGCAGCGCTTGTCGAACAGCACTGCGGATCCGAAGGTTGGGACTTTAATTGTGAAAAACCGCCCGCCCGCCCGCCACCAAACGCAAACACCGCAAAACGCGCAAAACGCACGCCTAAAACGCCAACGCAAACTTCGCAAACAAACAATCGCCCGCCCGCCGAAAACCGCAGAAAAAAACGCACAAAATGCCGCAAAAAAAACGCGCGTCCGCCGCAAAACACAAACACCGCAAAAAAACGCAAACACCGCCGCCGCAAAAAAACGCCCGCATCGCCCGCCGCCAACCGCGAAACGCCGCAAAAAAAACGGCCGCACGCCGCGAACCGCAAAACGCCGCAAAAACGGCCGCCCGCCGCAAACCGCTAAACGCCGCAAAAAAACGACCGCCCGCCGCTAACCGCAAATAACGGCCGGCCGCCGGCAACCGCAAAACGCCGTAAAAAACGGCCGCCCGCCGCAAACCACAAAACGCCGCAAAAAACGGTCGCCCGCCGCAAACCGGAAAACGCCGCAAAAAACGGCCGCCCGCCGCAAACCGCCGCTAAAACGGCCGCCCGCCGCCAAACGCAAACAGCAAAAACACCCGCATCGCCCGCCCGCCCGCCGCCAAACACAAAAACCGCACAAAACGCAAACACCGCCGCAAAAAAAAAAACGCCCGCAACGCACGCACGCCCGCCGCCAACCGCAAAACGCCGCAAAAAAACAGCCGCCCGCCGCCAAACGCAAACACCGCCAAAAACGCAAAAACGGCCGCCCGCCGTCAAACGCAAACCCCGAAAAAAACGCAAACACCGCCGCAAAAAACGCCCGCCGTAAGAAAAACGCTAACACTGACGCATTAAGACAAATATGGCGCCCTGCGGCAAATGTGGTGCAATCATATCTGCCGTTTAAGCAGCCATCCCTTAATTACAGCGCATCCTAATCGTCCAATGCTCGACAAAGTTACGCACATTCTGAGCTTTGCGGCAAAAATGGCGCTTTGAGACAAACGTGGCGCACTGCAACAAACATGGCGCATTCGTTCATGTCGCTTAACAATTCATCCACCCACCAAATTTGAACCAAATCGGACCATATTTGAGAAAGTTATGGACGTTTGAATATTTCACGATAAAATATCTCCGCAAAGGAGGAGCCCAGCTGAACACGTGTGCCACGTGACCACTGGTGATGAAAGCAGGACCTGTCCCCTCACCGACTGACCCAATTTAGTGTTCTTGGCTGGTTCTGTTTCCACGCTATACGGCCACCAGTTGGACAAAACACCATTATGTTGGAGGTACTCGGCTCAAACACGTGGCCACGTGGCACGTGCCAGACCTTTGACAGCTTAACGGCTCACGCCACGTCATGACCAATATAAGTGGCCATCGGCATGTAAAAGATGACCCCGGCCGGTGTCACCGTCTCTGAACAGTGGACGGCTAAACTTGAAAAATGGGAAAATTTAGGGAAATTTTACCTTTCGAATATAAAATTTCCCCAGAATTTTAAATTTTTCATTTTGCAAAAAATCCGAGATAGCAGTTTTTTAGGCCTTTTCATTTTGTGTCTATACCCGTTTTCAGATCGACCCTATGATAAAAACTGACGGCCTGACGGCCATTTCCCCCATTCCTTGCATTTAACAACGTTGGTGTATTTAAGCACAAAAATTGACCTCGTGCCACGGCACGTGCAATAGCACGTGCGCCACGTGACCACTAGTGGGACAAGCTGGACTCATCTGCTCACCGGCTGCACTTATTTGGTGTCGCTAGGTGGAGTGGTTTCCACGCCATAGGACTCCCAGTTGGCCAATGTCGGATTTTCCCGGAGGTTACCCCATCAAACACGTTTGCACGTGGCACGTGCTTTTCAATCGCCCCATATCTGACCCATACCATGTGGTAGCCGACATCCGGGGGCACAACATATTGGGATATTTTCAAAATCTAACGTGGAAATTTTTTGCAAAATCGATTTGAAAATAATTTTTCGAATTCGCCATAGGCTCAACATGGGGTAACTGTCTGTGCCAATTACCCGAAAGTTCTCTAATTATATTTTAAGCGGTTACCACCGACGGGTGGGGTGCCAGCCCGAGAGCCGACCCTAAAAATGCGGACAAATATTACTGAACAGATTTTCCGTAAATCGCATTTTTAATTTTTCCCCATGTTAACCCTATGGGAAAATGCACGTGCCGCTTACCCCAAAACGTGTCAATTATATTTTTTGTAACTTTGCCAGCCGGTAGCTCCCCCACACGGGACCAAACGGTGAAAATGGCAAGAAAATCTAACTATCCGTTTTCGCGGGGATCAAAATGACCAAAATCGCGGCCGAAACGCTAAACACCCCCCTAGAGAGGTAGCTCAGGTTGGGATTTTCAATAGAAAATCACAATTCTAAAGAATAGTGATTTGTCTTAATTGAAAAGTCCCAACCTTCGGATAGGCCCGGGCAGCGCTTGTCGAACAGCACTGCGGATCCGAAGGTTGGGACTTTAGTTGTGAAAAACCGCCCGCCCGCCGCCAAACGCAAAACCGCAAAACTCGCAAAACGCACGCTCAAAACGCCAACGCAAATGCCGCAAAAAAAAACAATCGCCCCGCCCGCACAAAACCGCAGAAAAAACGCAAAAAACGCCGCAAAAACGCCCGTCCGCCGCAAAACGCAAACACCACAAAAAACGCAAACACTGCCGCCACAATAAAACGCCCGCATCGCCCGCCGCCAACGGCGAAACGCCGCAAAAAACGGCCGCCCGCCGCAAACCGCAACACCGCAAATAACGCAATAACGCCCGGCCGCCGGCAACCGCAAAACGCCGCAAAAAACGGCCGCCCGCCGCAAACCACAAAAAACGCCTCACAAAACGGCCGCCCGCCGCAAACCGCAAAACGCCGCAAAAAACGGCCTCCCGCCGCCAAACGCAAAAACACCCGCATCGCCCGCCCGCCCGCCGCCAAACACAAAAACCGCAAAAACGCAAACACCGCCGCAAAAAAACGCCCGCAACGCACGCACGCCCGCCGCCAACCGCAAAACGCCGCAAAAACGGCCGCCTGCCGCCAAACGCAAACACCGCAAAAAACGCAAAAATAGCCGCCCGCCGCCAAACGCAAACACCGAAAAAAACGCAAACACCGCCACAAAAACGCCCGCCGTAGGCAAAACGCAAACACTGACGCATTAAGACAAATATGGCGCACTGCGGCAAATGTGGTGCATTCATATCTGCCGTTTAAGCAGCCATCCCTTAATTACAGCGCACACTAATCGTCCAATGTTCGACAAAGTTAGGCATATTCTGCGATTTCCGGCAAAAATGGCGCTTTGAGACAAACGTGGCGCACTGCAACAAACGTGGCGCACTCGTTCCTGTCGCTTAACAATTCATCCACCCACCAAATTCTAGCCCAATCGGACTTAAACTGAAAAAGTTATGTACATTTGAATATTTCACTATAAAATATCTCCGCAACGGAGGTGCCCAGATTTGCACGTGTGCTACGTGACCACCGGTGGTGCAAGCAGGACTTGTCCCCTCACTGATTGCACCATTTCAGTGTTCCTGGCTTGTGCTGTTTTCGTGCTATAAGGCCACAAGTCGGCAAACACACGATAATCTGGGAGGTACGCGACTCAAACACGTGGCCACGTGGCACGTGCCGGACCTTTGATAGCTTCACCGTTCACGCCACGTGATGACCCATCGACGTGGCCATCAGCATGTAAAAGATGACCCCGGCCGGTGTCAACCTCCCTGAACAGTGGACGGCTAAAGTCGAAAAACGGGAAAATTTAGGGAAATTTCACCTTTCGAATATATAATTTCCCCAGAATTTTGAATTTTTCATTTTACAAAAAATCCGAGATAGCAGTTTTTTAGCCCCCTTCATTGTGTGCCTACACCCGTTTTCAGATCGACCCTATCATAAAATCTGACGGCCTGACGGCTATTTCCCCCATTCCTTGCATTTCACAATGCTAGTATATTTAAGCACCAAAATTGACCCCGTGCCACGGCACGTGCAATAGCACGTGCGCCACGTGACCACTAGTGCGACAAGCTGGACTCATCTGCTCACCGGCTGCGTTGATTTGGTGTCGCTAGGTGGAGTGCTTTCCACGCCATAGGACCCCCAGTTGGCCAATGTCGGATTTTCCCGGAGGTTACCCCATCAAACACGTTTGCACGTGGCACGTGCTTTTCAATCGCCCCATATCTGACCCATACCACGTGGTAGCCGACACCCCGGTGCACAACATATTGGAACTTTTTCAAATTCTAACGTGGAAATTTTTGGCAAAATTGATTTGAAAATAATTTTTCGAAATCGCCATAGGCTCAGCATGGGGTAACTGTTTGTGACGATTACCCGAAATTTTGTCATTTATATTTTAAATAATTACCACCATGAAGTGGGGTCCCGGCCCGAGATTCGACCCTAAAAATATAATTCATTTCTAACGTGGAGTTTTTCCGCAAATCGCATTTTAAATTTTCCCCCATGTTAACCCTATGGGAAAATGCACGTGCCGATTACCCCAAAACGTGTCAATTATATTTTTTGTAACTTTGCCAGCCGGTAGCTCCCCGATACGGGACCAAACGCTGAAAATGGCAAGAAAATCTAACGAGCCGTTTTCGAGGGTATCAAGATGACCCAAATCGCGGCAGAAACG